GCGCCCTTATAAAAGAGCACGTAGATGGGAAACATGGATTCAGATAGAACACTCCAGTACGCACTCCTAGGAAACAGACATAACGTGGAAGATTTTGAAGTAGAAGCTACTGACCTCGTACAAGAATGCAAAACATCGGCACACAATACCGTCGAAACATTTTGGTCATATTCCAGAAATCCAAAAATGAACCACGCGTGATCCTATACAATATCTCAGACTCCCGGGTCTTCTAGAATATTATATCTCAGACCGCGATTTTAGCGTGAGAAAAGCACATTACTCATCCTCGTGCACTGTAGTTCCTCCTCACTAACAATACCTGGATGATTAACCTCATGAATTTCATCTAGAGCTCAGCCTTGGGCGAAGAAATTTACGAACTACGATGTTAATACGTGGGTGTGCTAGCGCTGATTACCTCTAGGAGAGGCTTGACGGTGGTTTCCCACCACGTGTTGTCGATGAATTGCATGATCCTTCAACCATCATATGTTCATTCTTTAAACAACAAAAAAAAAACAAGTAGGAACTGGTGGGGAAACATTTATCTAATGAAATTCTTTCATTTAAAATTGCTGAAAAAGGTGAACTAAGGAAGACTTAGGGCGCGTGCGGCGCAGTTGTTGGAGGCGCCACTGCGACACCTCTCACGAACGTGGAATCGATCCTTGCGCCCACCAAGCCCTTCAGCCCTTCAGGGTCGGCAAATTGGTTCCCGATTAGTTTAGGAAGATACCAGCACTGGCTTGATACATCGGTAGGCCACCACGAGTCCAGATACGCATTGAGTCACCTCTAACGATACTTAATGAATTCGAATGCATGGCACCCTCCCTCAGAGACTGATCAACGTCGAGAGCTTTATCCTTTATCCTTGTATATGTCCATTTTGTATGTATATATTTGTATGTCTATACGTGCAAGTTCTGCCGTCCTGTCGCTTCCTCCATATCACATCAAGTGCATGGTGCCAACAATTTTATGTTCAACTGACGACAAAAGTATAGCTCATGACAGCCTATGACAGAAGTCATATTTTCAGCTATTTTAACTAGTCCAGTTGAGAGCTAACTTGTTGTTTTTCATCAGCTTTACTCCGAGTTCTAAGCGCTAATCAAAAGGAAACCAATGGTACGGCGACACATAGAAGCATAGAAGACCGAGCGAAGTGGGGAAAGAATACACCGCTATCCGTCTAGTTTTTTGCCTTCATAGATCTTCCTGCTGAGGATAAGCGACAACATAATACAATAGGTTACGAGCATAACTTTTTGCCTGCACTAATCTTCCTTTAATATCTTGCAAAATGCATCGCTAAAGAAGTAGAATAAAAACACAGTTAACACTTTAAAACGACCGTTGCAGGGATGATCCAACAGTATTTTAATGTCTGCAGAAAATAAGAAAGAAATCCAGCGCTCTCAAAGTTATTGAATTGGAAACCTTAAACGCTGTCGCATACAAAGGTGTCGATAATCGGAAGACGCAACCAAGTCTTGCCAGTAAAAAGAACGGTACCATAATATCCTTTCAATACTACCTTTCACGGATTGTCAAGCGCAGAACAGGAAACTACTGACACTGTTGTGATGGCTCATTGTGAAGAGGTGAGAAAAACACACCATGTTACCTCACCCTTATAATGAGAACAACCTAGCAGCCGTTTTGTCCACGATTTAAACCAGTGGAACGTAACCAACTCTGACAACACGATGATCTCCACCTGCATTTTAATATTTACACTATTTCAGGCGTATTTCCTGAAAACAAATTACCACTATTTTTCGCGAATGTGGTACTCCTAAATTCAATGCAGTAAGAAAGAAGAACAGTGTGCACACGAACTCAACGGCTGAGTTCTCTGGTTTTTCTATTTAGGAACCTTTCACTGTTTTTTTCTACAAACCATAGTGTATTAAACCAATAAAAAAACGTGCACCTGTCAGCATAATAGCCCACTAATCAACTACAACACAAGGCAACCATGCTAAGATATTTGCAAAATTTGGACTCCAGGTAAGATCGAACCGCGATTACTTCCCGTGGTGACTTCCGTTGAAGGGTGATAGCCAATTGTGGAGGAGAGTAAGGCAAAACGAGGACTTAAGTGGCGCCATGCGTACACGTGGACTCCCCGGAAAGGGTTATCGCGGTTCGATCCGGCCTAGGGTTCAAATTTTACAAATATCTCAGCATATTATAGCTGTATTTCACCAAATACCCTACGGTGAAAAAATAGGGGCAGTAGATAAAAAGTTATACATCATAACGCAAAACATTTCATGGTGACACAAAATTTTACTAGGACAAGAATCCAACAACACACGTAGTTCTTCGAAGGATGAAAAGAAAGCAGCAAAATTACGAACAGAATACAATGTAAACGAAGAAACACTATGTCTACGCCAATTCTTCAATCAAAACACTATAGCATTTCCTAGAACTTAACTTGGCTGTACCGTTTCAGAGAATTAATACTTCTTCTTCAAAGACTTAACAAGGTTAACGAGAAATGGAAAGTCAACTTCAAGTATTCTAAAGAGGTTATAATACCAGAAAATATATAAATCACCAAAAATCAATGGTTTCCGTCGATAACCGATTACGTTTAGAGCTCCAGAGCGAGACAATCATAGAGAAGTCATAGAAGGAACGCATAAACGTTTACGAAGAACAGAAATAGGATGAACAGAATGTTAAAGAGTCAGAATTCGTCTTGTCGTCACAAAAATGAAGACCGGTGCTTGTCAAAAAAACCGCAGTACGATCACATACTACACGCAAGAAACCTTTTCGCTAAAGTTATAGGAGAATGAAAATAAGAAAATACTTTGAGATAACTATAGAAGAATGTAGAAAAAACTGAAGAGGTTACAAAGACCCCTTATGAATGAAAACATAAGGTTCTATACAAAAACGGCCCATGGGATTTTGTTATCATCTGGATTGTGTAGACCATATGAATAGAAACTACACTGCATAACATACTAATAGAAAAAAGGACAAGTAATAGTGAAGGTGTTGGCTGGACTAAGCACGCTTCAACCAACCACTCTCTACACCTAGATGTAATATTAACTTCTTCATGGTTTATTCTTTTACCTATTCGGAAGAAAACCATCCCAATGTTTAGTTTAAGAGAAACTTAAGAAAGAATATTTCGAAAGGGTAAACATAGGGAATGAAAATTTAAGGGTCAGACAAAAGGTAAACATCAACACTGTTGGGGATTGAGCATGCAACACCACACTGGTTTAACATAAATTCAACTTTTTCTTTTTATAAGATACTTACGAAAACGCATTCCTGACTGAATTCATCAGCACCTCATTTTCGTAACCCTGACCAAAAATTACCTGACTTTTCTTCAACAACATCGTACTGAGGTCCATGACCTTAAATTATAGCCATGGGCTCTCAAACTACCTTAGAGAATAAATCACCTAGTCGCAATTCATAGTTATGAAGTTCATTGTAATAAAACAACAAAACACTGGAAAACGAATACGTCGTACATTTATAAATATCGATAAACAACTCTAAACTGAACAGTCTCCCAAGAACGACCATGGAAACGATACGATACTAGTAAACTCCAAGCGCACCCGATCATTCCAACTTTTGTTTGTTGCGTGTCGAACCCGTTTTTACAGAGAAGATCTGCACAAAAAGCATTGACTGCCGAGCAACTAGCAAGTCGATTTTTGAAGTTTCCACTGATTGCAGTGTGTAGTACAACGATACAAAATCTATAAAGAAAAAGAAGGCGACGACGAATGAACAAATAATAGTCGTTCTTTGTTGCAGAACGAAACATCAGACTCACCACCACACTGTGGTATTTTGCACGGAATTCGCCATGCATATAGATATCCATTATGCACTTCTCGGAAGAGTGGTACCAAAGAATACACTTGGAAGTGAGTTGGATTGGTGGTCACACGTAAGCTGAACAAAATGTGTTGCTTTAACTACAATGATGTGAGATGTTTGCAAAATTCGGGACCACAGGTGTGTGCGGTGGAGACGGAACACGCTATCACTTTCCATTAGCTAACGCGTTCACCAACACTCCATGTGTTTTTCTCTTCACCTTTCTCTCAGCCGTGTTATCAACCTTTTTTTCATGGCAGCGTATTATGTCAAGTATAACTATGATGATGCTGAGATCCTTGCAAAACAAATTGATATTGAAGGAAAAGAATATAGGCAGTAAATAAAAAGCGACGACATTGTGTTGTTTTACTCAAACATGGTTATGAATCTATGCGGTAGCGTCCCTAACAAACAGTGGCAGCCAGTATGAGGCACACTTTAAGAAACTGTGATCTTGGGATATTTTCTGCGGATTAATACGCATATTTTCCAAGCACACGGAATTTTACGTTACGACGATCTCTACATGCAATAAATATTTAATTTATCTAAGCAAAGTTATCTACGCTAATCATACAACTGGCAGATTTCACTTCTATGAACAACGCTTTACACATGTAACGATTAACAACCGTTTCATTTTTTTTGAGATTTTAAAGTGAGCCGAAGAGAAAAATTGTCGCAATGTAGTCACTTTTCTATTCACTGCCCATTCTTTTTATGGCAGGATGTGATGTGAAATATACTCACAATAGTGCTGGAGATCGAACACGCTATTATTCTTTCAGGAGGCTAACGCGTTCACCACCATACCACACGAGTACTTTGTTTCGTATGGTGTGGTGGTGAATGCGTTAGCTCTCGGGAAAGGTAAAAGCGTGCTCTATCCCCATCACAGACACCTGCGGTCCGGAGTTTCGCAAAGTTGTCTCGGCTAAAATAATATGTTAAACAGCGAATGTAACCTACGAATTTCTGAAGAGCATAAATGTCATAAAGGACCACCTTTTTTCAGTGTAAAAATAGAAACATAGCCGATCAGTTAATGACCAGAAATCCACTATTAAAAAGGTATGGTTCAAATTGCAAAAACTAACTGTAACCAAAGAAAAACGAAGGTATTATGAAAGTACTGACGTCGGTGTTTGCATGAGAGATATAGGTTGCTTAAAGTCGGAAAACACTGTTTCGCACATCTCTGTTCTAACAATATGTGGGTATCCCGGCGGCATTAAACAATCTTGAGGTGTAAACGCAACAGGCAACATAAAGACCACCTGAAATACTAGGATCACAACACGTACAACATATTTAAACTAAATCATAACCTACCAGCTGCTCATCGTCAGATAACGTCTTCACGACATCCTTTCTCAGACTTAACAGTAGTTTCTGCTGCAAAAAACAGGATGAGCAAGCGAAATCATAGAGCATAAATGGAGAGGAAAATTGTAATCCTTACTGTTTCGTCACGCCGACTATCTTCACCATACTGAAGAAAACGAATACTATGTAAAGTGGTAACTGCATCACGAAGTTGGAGTTTCCCTGTCAGACATGAAAACATTGCAGTGGAAAACACATATATTTTTAAAAAAGTAAACCACACACAGGAATCTATACCACAAGAAGTAAACAAACAGGTGAACTCATTTTTGCAAAAATAAAGGATAAAAAGGACAGAGCTCTCGGCGTTTACCAATCCCTGAGAGATGCGCCGTGCATTCGGTCTCATCAAGCATCGTTTGGAAGCGATTGAATGCATCTGGCATTTACAATGATTCACTGTGGCCAAACGATGTATTGAATCAGTGCTGCTATCCTCCCAGAGAAGGCTGGTACCAATTTACCGACTCCGGTGAATGGTAGGCTTGGTGAACCTGGGACGCGGGGATCGATCCCACATGGTTGTCGCAGGGCAGCTCCGACCACTGCGCTATATGCGCCCAGTTTTTTATTACAATTTTGCAAAGATATGTGTAGGAGTGGTAAGACACATGAAGTAAAGCCGAAACTGGAACGAAATACTTAATGAAAAACTCTAAACCAAGTTACAACATTATGTTACTACAAACACCTGCACAAATAGCCTTTAACCAGGTCGCCATAATACGTTCTAAAGCGTTCATCCTTGTTTGTATGTACGAGCACACCTAAACAAATAATAATGATAATGATCTAATACTCAAAACATATGCAATAAGTTCTCAAATTTCGCATTACTTGTTGACGATACGCTTTCCGAGTTAAAAAAGAATATAGCCATACTATAAAGCTTAACAAAGCTTCCCATCCTGAAGGATGCGAAATGCATAGCACTCCATTCGTAGCATCATAAAGGTAATTAAATGAATATTTGGTTAATTCAACGACTTGCGGTGGCCTAACGATGTATCAAGTCAGTGCTGGCATCCTCGAGTGTAAGTACTGTACCAATTTGTTCCCGCTGGAGAGAATCTGGGGTCTGGTGTCGAACCAGTGACATCTGTACTTCAGAGCTTCTCTAACACACCTTCGTATATAGGCCATAGGGCAACAAAACAATAAATTGATAACGAAGAAATGCTCTCGTGGAAACTTGAAGGAAATTCCAAATTCCACAGATGTGATACTAACGGTAACGACGAAAATGAATCACCTTGATAACACAGAATACTTAAAATAAGACTCGACTTGAAGTTTTGCTTCGAATTACGGTGGCAACAGTTCGCACTTTAAGAGAACCAGAGAAGACAAAATTTTTTAAAACGTGGAGAAAAAGGTGATAAAACTACTTAGACGACAGACCATCTTTGTAGCATCTCTTGCTCGCATTTAGTGTTGGAAAATCTTAACCATAGGAAACATCAATACGATGTATACAAAAATCCCCACATCTAAAGACCTTCGAATTCGCAGTTAAAATTCCAGAAATACATTCAAAGAAGAAAAACACTACTAACAATGAACCATTAGGGATTATTATACTATGCACTTTGTACAGCTACCTGTAAACACCAACGTAACCCTTTGCACTAAATGAACCTTCCATTACAATAAAAGCCAAATACCAAGGATCATCCATTCGCTCTGACGAAATGTCCTCGGCTAAGCGTCATCATAACTAATCGCAAGTGTAAAAAGTTGATCTAGAGTTCACCACAGAAACATGAAACAACACTTAGACCTTTCACTACTCATTTATAAGCTACATTAATATGTACGCTACAACGCTTGAATTTTTACCGTCTGTGGTTCACATTAAATTCATAGCCCGTGTCTCAAAATTCTTCCCGTTTCTGCACTCTTCTCATCAGCTAAAGTCTTTTTTATTGGTACAAAAGCTAAAAAATCGTAACTATTGATCAAATCTACTTCATAACCTGCTCATCAGCAACAACACTTGCGTTGCTCTGCACAAAAGATGAAGAGTCGCCGAAGGTCTCATGGCTAAGAACAGATTTTTTTCGTCCAAATCCGCAATAAATTTACCAAAAATTCTCATGGTAGATAGTTTTTTTTGACAATCATAAAAATATCTAACTCATGGAGGTTATCGACATGATGTAAAAACGTTGTAAAGAGGATGTGTAATAAACTATCGTTAAAAAAAACAAACAAATCAAAGCAGAACATAAACTACTAGAAATGTCTGTATATGATAACGATATGGTGCTAGAATTACAATGAGATGTAAACTACATAGATATAAACACAAAAAAGATATACGTGAACAACTTGGTGAAAATCTGGAAACACTTCAACAGAAGTACCCCAAGATCTTAGAGATAATTACGTTCCGCTAACCTCCAAAGGTACTCACGAGGAACACGAAATCCCAAGTTGCAGCAGAATCCACAAATCGTAGCACTTTCGTGGACGATGGATACAATACAACTAACCGAATGAAAGTGTTCGAATCCACGCAACAGGTGAACATCACTCACATAAAAGACTACAAGTTTATAGCTGAAAAGATCCAACTCATTCCATTCGGACATTTACGGACTTCATACTACATTACCCACCAATTTTAACACTTATTCTAATGAAACTACGCAATATTTATAGGTAACATTGGCACTGGACACGAAAGTGTGTTTCTCACGAAAGTCATTAAAAAAAAGATATGACACTCAGCAAGTGCCCAGAGCGGGGACAAGCGGAAAATTTACTGGCACCGCCTACTTGAGCCACTCGACGGCCATCGCAATCATAAGTGATACAGATGAAAAAGCCACAGAAAACGCCATTTCACGAAATCGTAGAATTACGGAGAAAACTTCTCGATCAGTATCCAACGGCATTCACAGAGAAGACAAAAAAATCTTATGGACTTGCGAACGCAAACAAAAACCCGACGATCACCGTGGACACGAATGTGAGGAAAGGAATCAAAATGAAAGAAATACTATGATTCGTAAAATATATGATTTCGGTTTATTAAAAAAATAAGAAAAATGTGCGAAAACCATAATTCACGAAAACAATGTCACGATGACGTTTATTTCACAATCTCCTCTACGTTTCTTAGACTTTGGTCTGAGAAAAATACTTGCCTAAGAATGAACTCACCTCTCCGTTATCTACGTTATAAAGCTCGGATGGAATTCTTGAAGTAGATGGTTCTACTAAAGACAAATCAGCGCCATACCACATAAGCTGGCGTACCTGGAAACTTCGGAGACTCGAGTTATATTTGGAACGACAAAAAGCTCGTCCACCACTAGGGTTCTAAGATTTTAAAACAGTGACTTACTAACCATGAGAACATTGTTCCGTTCAACGAGATAATGTATTGGTGCTTGTTTAGACTGGTCGAAATCGTTAGTGTTCGTACCTAGACGAAAGCACGAAAATACAACAGTAAACGACATGTAGGAGGAGCTCCAACTCTCCATCACCTTCACGACGTCTTTCAAAAAGAAAAAGAAGAAACAAAAGTAACACCTTATACGCATTTATATATAAAGGATAGAAGAATAAAGCTCTTGGCGTTGATCAATTCCTGAGGATGGGCCACGAATTCGACCTCATTACGTATCGGGCGATTGAATGCATATGGTCTGAAATCAACTTGCCAAACCCGGAGGGATTAAAGGCTGGGTGAGCCTGGGGCGCGAGGATCGATCCCAGGTGTACTTCAGAGCGCCTCCGATCACTGTGCCACACGCGCACGATTTATGTATATCTACATGTACATATGCATGTATATACATATACATTCGTTGATCACTTCCATTCATGATCGCTTTTAATGTTTAATTAAACACTACAACAACCATTTGGAATTGAAGAGTTCGACACACTACCGTGTTTAAGAAGAACATTGAGTTGACATGGCTGCCCACTAATAGCAGCAAAATGGATAGCTTTCCGTTGACAATCAATTGTTTTCTCGTTAAGAAGCATTTGAGCGCTCAATGGTGTAAGGCAACACAGAATTAAGTCCACCATCCTAAACATGACAGTATACACTTCCGAAACAATTTCAAAAGAGAAAGTACTGCGCACAATAGAGAACTGATACTGATCGCCATTCGATCTCAACCAGTAAAAACATAAAACTCCAGCAAAAAGAATCGAAGCGGCACTGATAAATCGAGAATATTTCGACTTTTAATTAATATAGGCTATATTCAGATTTGCAACGCGTCACGAATTTGCGTCTTATCCTTCCCACCCAACGCTTTAGCGCCTCTTCGTAGTCGGGTTATGCTCCTCGGTGTTGGTGTTGGACCGCGACGTACAACCGTGAGATTCATCCTCTCGGTGGGGTCTCCCTAGGTGAGAAATCCGGCGTTTCCATCACGAAGTACCCCTAAGAGTAAACTAATACCAAGATCCACCATCGTCCTGGTATCAAACTATGTCGCATGGTGGCAAACCTCCCTCTGATCTACAAGGGACGCGACTGCCTGGTGTGGTGACGACCTGGGACAGACTTTGATCAGGCTGATCTCGAGACTCCAGGGAGAAATAATGGCTAAGCCAGCAAAATTCCGGAAAAAGGAAATTTTGCTGGAGCCCGCACAACCAGTGAGGACAGACCATCCACGTACCCAATTATATTCAGATTAAAGTTTTAGCTATCCGTAAACCGAACTTTGAATATAGCCAATAGATGCAAGAACAAATATTTCAGGGGCCAACTACACAAGGCACAGAGCAAATCAACGGTATGTAGGTGATTTCATTCGAGCGAAAAGTAGTGATTGACGCATGAACAAAGTTCAGAGGCAAAACCTTCACGCATTCTTAACCCTTTTATTTACTGCCTTTTTCTTTTTAATGGCAGGGTATGTTGCGAAATATAAATAGTATATGATGCTGAGATATTCGGAAAACTCCGGACTGCAGGTGTATGCGGTGGGGAACGAACGCGCGCTATTGTCCTTACCGGGGAGTAGCGCACTTCATCACCACACCATCCGAGTCCTTCGTTTTGCCTGTCTCTCATCTAGTTCTATCGATCTTTTGCCATCTGCAATCATCCGTCAACGGGATTCATGTGGAAAGCCCAAACCGCAAAAGAATAAAATCGAAAAATTACAATATGTAGTAAAGAAAAAGTTAACATTGTGATTTTGTTCGTATTTTTTTTTTTTTGAGCAAACGCGAGGTGTTATTGTTCTTTGTTCACGATTAAGCTGACGTTTCGGCGAATTTCGCCTTCTT